TATTACGTATTTGTTAGACTGACTAACAAATAAACTTTCGATACTTTATATAACATATTTGTAGTAAATTAATTTATACTTCGATAATATATTTGGTAACACTAAGGACCAATAGCTTCATCTATGGCTTTTAAGCATTTAACTCAATCTTAACTAAGCTAATCTTTAGGGATAAAAGCTTCTTACCAAATTGATACTCAGGGGCTTAGATAACAAGTTAAATCTTAAGTAAAGTCTAAAATACTTTTTGAAGGAAGATCTGGAAGCTGGGTAAGATTCTCTAAAACGCGAGTCTCGACCATGATTAATCTTTGTTGCGCATATGCTGGACAGTGATGAAGCAGATGTGAGGCGCTTTCTTAGTCTTCCCCACAATTGCGACATAAATAAATAAACTGTATCTTACACCATAGTTGCCTAAACAAATGTGACTCGTCAACAAATCTACCATAAGATTAAAGAAATGATAAATTGTTTAAAATTTATTTCAAATAAAATGATCAGTATTTAATGTTATTTAAGTGTAAATAAAAAAATTGACTAAAGTACCTAACACTAAATTACAAGACCAAAATAAACCATGATATGAGTAGATGGAATAGGTAGTATTCTTTTAAAAATTCAACTAAAAACCTCAGTAAAGCATACATTGATCTAGGAGCAGTTATATGTTCAAGTGATTTCAAATCTAATAAATCTATAACTGAAAAAGTCTTACCGTAAACTTGAAGGTTAAGTATTACTAGGAATGTAACACGGTATATGTTCAAGTGATTTCAAATCTAATAAATCTTTAACTGAAAAAGTCTTACTGTAAACTTGGAGGTTAAGTATTACTAGGAATGTAAGACGAATGGTGGTTAATTAAAAAGTTTATTGTCAGTAAATTATAATATTAGTAATTTATAAAATAATTAAAATAAAATAATATTTATGTACATAAATCCTAATATTACAAGAATCTGTATAAAATATTTAGTTACTAGAAAGGTGGAATGAAGAAATAATTCGAAGTTCCTGATTTATTCCACCATAAAGAGTATATTGCCTTTAACATACTACAGCAGCGCCATGGCATATAACTGTATAAGTAAAACGTATGAGATATATCGTATTGAATATAGAAAAGATTTACCATTACATATTTAAAAATTGTATAGTTTCAGCGTAATATTTTTATATGTTACAGAACTCAATTGATAACGTGAGTTAGTTTAGATTACATCGGTGATCTATTAGATTCACTTGGAATGTAGATGAAGGGATGTTTTAAAAATATATAATAATGATTATAATATAATGGTAATATGTACGCAACCTTGCAAATCTTAAAATGGAATTGCATTAGAGAGACGGTACTTTTAAAAAAATCAAATACATTATTTTTTTTGTTAAAGAATTTCAAAAAAAATAATTTGTAAAAAAATAAATGTCACGTCAACTACGTATATACATATTGTGTGACACAATGATACAACGAAAGTAAATATTTAATATATTTAAAGAAGCAGTATAAACCTATAAAAAAAATATTTTGTTGAGTATAACATCTAATCTGAAGACCAAGTGACAAATATAAGTCAATTGTAATAAAAAAATATGTTTCCTAAATGACCAAGAAAATATCATAAAATAAGAAAAGTGCGCTTTTAATGCGTAGAATCCATAAGAAATATTGAAGAATATCACCCGCAGAGAGAAAATTCTATATATGCTAAAATATATACGAACATGAGTTGGCAAATTTAAAAGTGATTTATTATTTACTGAATAAAAAAATAAAAGAAACTTTATGTTCAGTAAAATAATATTTTGTTTATAATTTGCGTTGTTATTGTACATTTTTTATTGCTAATACATAAGTTAGACAATACATTGATCGAAAAATATATCATTCTATATACCTAGAATGAACTTATTATTCATTGGAAGCTTGTAAATAAGACATCTTACATCTATTCAATTATTAATTATTAAGGAATAGAAAGAGTAAAGATAAGAAATAAAATTTATAACGAATACAATTAATATTTTCATAATTAAATTCGAACCTATTCACTCTGTGCAAATTAATTTTCAGTTATACGTTATTAACTATGGAACTGGATTAACTTTTTGGTGGTATCCATATATTTGTTTCATTTAAGTCGATTTTGCGAAAGTAGATTTCACAAACTTATTAATTTTCTTTCTTATACATCTTATACTGATAAAGCAGAACTTTTGAAATGTCTAGTCCGTCGCGTTTACCAGTTTCTCTTTGTTTTTATGTAGCAATATATTTTTTAAATCGTATGTTTACATCAAACTACGAATTGGCATTAATAATCGGCAAAAAACTTATGTGAAAGCATTTAAAACTGGATCCCAATATCATACTTTACTTTTACCATCTGAATAGGTAAATATTCAGTATATTTTAAAGCTTTATAATACATTTATATAAGTATTTAGCGTCCACTGTGCTTTTAATTAAATGAAAAACCAATAACCTATTAAATAAAAATTCGGTACACCATAATTACTACATTATCTATTACAAAATCATAATTACTAATAGTTTATATTATTAATAGTTCAGCGGAATGCAAATAATAAATACTAAATATATTTATCTTCATCGTAATTTTTGTATTGCAAAATTCTGATGGGAAATTATAAAATAACTTTTAAAAATCTAATTACATCAATTGGGCAAAAATGTATGTAGAAATTCACTAGATGACATTTAATCGTTTTTTTAATTTTTTAATGATGTTAATTAATTTGAGTTCAAATTTGCAACGTCTCCTGGACATCTGGACCTTTAGCTTGTTAGTGCTAAAGTTAAAGTTCAAAAATTGAGATTTAAAGAGTTGATAATAAAGTTTTTTTAGAAAAGTCTTGAATTTCGTCTCTTTAGAAAACTTGGTACGAATAACTAGACAAACATTTTTGCTCTACACATTATTTCTCAAATTCCCTATCTCTTATGTGAAATAGAGAAACTTTTCAAATAATTTTTAAAATGAGTTTTACTTAAAGAAGAATTTTGAAATATATGTTTATGTATTTGACCTGTGATATGTATATAAAGTCAAATATCCTTAACAGGAAAAAATTAATCTTTAAATCTGTTATCAAAGAAACCCAAAGTTGCATGTTATGAACATCACAAATATTGCCAACTGTTTTGTGGAAAACTGAATAAAGTCTTTTTAAAGTGTAAATGGCTTTTAAAGTCTTATTGACTCAGCAAAAAGGGTAGTGAAGATCTGACAGTTGAATGTGCAACCATTCTACCACTCAGATCTTCCAACGCTTATACCCTTCCACAAATTAGTTTACACCATTTTCTAAAACTAACATCACTGCATCTAAATAGCAGATACAAATTTGTTTTTATTGCACTTGACTACAGTCTCTTCTATTAGAAAATCTTCTAATAAAAATCTGTAGCATTTATTTTAAATTGTATAACAGCAACTTTTGAAGGGGTTGTAACGTTGATTTTCGAATTATGCGCTATTACATATATTAATAGGATAGTATGTTGGAATAAGAAGAACAATATGGACCAAGTACTCGTAACGGCGTCAGAGAAAATTTGGGCTTATTAACTTGATTTACGAATGTTAATTATTAATAAGTCCTCTTAAATACTTTTTTTATAGTATTTCTGAACAAAGAATTTATAACAATCGTTATATGGTGGTAATTTTTTACATTTCACAAAATCTAAAATTCACCATTCATATCCACCATTCAGAGAATATTCAAACTGCCGTAGTATGTATTGATTTGGGATTTTAAAACATGAATTTAAGACTACCATAACCTTTCAAAATTCAGTAATACCACAACAGTATGAAAACTAAAGTGTCGATAGTCTGAAATCTTTATTTATTCTACTATATAAATACATCTATAAAAAGGATAGCAAGCACCAATACTCATTTGCTTATACTTTCAAGCAAAGCTGAAGCATATTGTACTTAACTTATCAAAATTATACACAATAATTTATAACAATACTGCTCTTAGTTAATATTTATGTACTTAATATATTTAATTTTACAAACACCATAAGACAATATTTTAATATTAAATATTTATATTGTTGAAGTAAATATTGAAGCAAGCCAGCGAAATGAACTTTTGAGATTGCAACAAAATTAATAAAAAGAATAAATATTTATCAAAAGAATTTACAAAAAAAGCTCAGAATAATAATAATAATTTACGCGAAAAAAAAAAATAAATGTATATATGTATAATATACAAAAATTTTGCATTCTCCCCACGTCGAAAAAAGTTCCCACCAATTAACGCTTCATTTGTTTCAACATTAAGTGAACAAAATAATAATAATAATAATCACAACAGTATTAATTATAACTCACAGATAATTAAAAAGTAAAATTAAATAAACAAAACACAACAACAAAAATTCAAATTTAAACAAAGTAAAAAAATATAAAAAAAAAGAAAAAATTGTGAATAAAATTTGAATGCAAAGCACTTAAAATGTTTCTTGTGAACAGAACTTAACAGAAGTGAACAGAAAGAACAGCAGTAAAGCTTACTTCAAACGAAACTACCGTGTAAACGGGCTATAATTAGCCTGCAATTATACAGGTTCGCTGCACATACATACACACACAGTATACATATGTAGTTTGCAATCAAACAAAGCACAATTGCAGCAGCAACAATAACAGCAACAGCAGTTCTAACAACAACAAAGTTTTGATATCGAGCTTAATGAACTAAATCGCAATGTTACGAAATTTAAGTTTTCTTTTTACAGTGTCGGCGCTGTTATGTTATGAATTTGATAAGCAACCAAATGTAATCGAACAAAGACAAGTTATATGCGCACTACAGTAAGTATGCTTAACTTCATACGATTTGGAAAACAATTAACATAATAATTATAATATTAAAAATATACAACACTACAACACTACAGCACTAACCACAATAATAATAAAAACAAAAACAAATATATATAAACGCACCATATTAATTACTCGCCAACTGCGGCGGCTAACAGCTGCAAGAACAGTGGAAGCAACAAAAACGTTGGCGCGGCCACAATTGGAAATTAATTATGCTTGACATCATGTGGAGGAGACGTTTTCATACAAAACAATACATTTTTATGTACTTGATAATCATTGTTTTTATTATTATTATTTTTATATTATATATATATATGTGTATATTTTTTTTTGCTCTGCCTTTCGCACTTCTTACACTTTTTTAATATTTATTTTGTTTATTTTTTTTTTATTAAAGTCATTGAAAGAAAAAACAATGTTTATTTAAGAAACTTTTTTTTTTATTTAATTTAAATTTAAATTCGAATTTGCCGTCGGTAAATTGAGCCGCGAATTTTTGACAAACAGTAACGTAACCGTTAGAAAACGTGCGAAACACAACAGGATGCGTTAGTACTGCAAATTAAATTACGCATACGTCAAAGGGTGCAGCTACGACGGCAACTTCTTTTAGAACTCACTCAACTTTCATTCATAACTTAACTTTTCATATATCGCAAACTGCCATCGAACGAACAAATTGAAATTTTTTCCAAATCATTGAATTCAAATACGCGCCAACATAACAAATTCAATCATTTCGCACATTACCGCTAAGAGATAAACACAACCGACACGAGCGACTTTCAGGCACATAATAGAATTCAATTGAGAGAAAAATACGATTGCAGCCGTAGTTGAAGCAAATTGAACACTGAACAGTGTTACCAACTTGTGGACTATGCCAGTACCACATTGGTAATGTGAAAAGCAACACAAATTTTATATTGTGTTACACAAAATATTGTGTGAAGTGAAGTAGGTAAGATTAGTTCGCAGATAGTTCGTAGTATTGTTAGTGGATTAAATAAAAATTTATATGTTGTTGAAATTTTTTCACATTAAATATATTTACATAAACATTTCCTAAAAAAAATTTTTTTAGGAAAATATATTTTCATTGTAGTATTTATTTTTAGTGCAGTTAGTTAGCACTTGTTCATTTCACTTATTTTACTTAACATCGTTTTAAGCACATAAACTTATCAAATGTATAATTTTATACGTCAACGTACTCAGTTATATAAACGCACTTAGTGAAATATTTGTGTGAATTTATCAATCTGCTGTATAATAGCACTATTTATATCAGCAATTATTATGACAGAACAATATACAATGCTTAACAGCGCAATTTTTTATCTAACATCGTTGCAATTTTAAATAATTGTGCAATTGTTATTGATTAGCTGTGTCGTTATCAATAAATTATTAAATATAATATCGAAATTGAGCGAAAAATTCAAACTAATATGTATTTACCAAGATATTTTTGTAAATGACTTGTTTGTGTAGGAATGTAACTCTGTAACGAGTATAGATAAATTTATGCTACATAAATTTATTCGGTAAAATTTTCGTGTAAATTCATTAACGATTTTTCATACAAAATTTGACACTTCATTTACTTAGTAGATAAATTTATATGATATAAGGTTTATAAGACATTTATCAGTTTAGATGAGTACACTTATTGTGTAAAGTGAAGTAGGTAAGATTAGTTTGTAGATTGCTTGTATTTTTAATGGATTAAATAAAAATTTATTCGTTGTAGAACTGTTTCCATATTAAATATGTTTATATATAGTTCCTACAAAAAATTTTGGGGTAGTTATTTTTAGTGTATCTAGTTAGCATTTTTTCATGAAAATTTATTTGTAATAGAATTTTTTTAACATTAAATATATTCATTTACACTTTTTTCAACAATTTCTTTTGGGAAATATATTTTTATTGTTTCATTTGTTTTTAGTGCAGCAGTTAGCACTTTTCAATTTTACTTAGATCGTTTTTTTATTATTTTTATAGATATACTCTGCAAAGTACAGCAGATAAAACTAGTTAGTAGATTTTTTGTATTTTTATTAAACGAACATTATAACATTTTTTTCATATAAAATGTATTTATATACACATTTCCCCTAAAAATTTTTTGTGAATATGTATTTCTCCTGTTGTATTTATTTTTAGTGCAGCAGTTAGTACTTTTCGATTTCACTTACCATCGTTTCCTTTAGTACTTTTGAAGAAAGCACAAAATATCTTGCGTGATTGTTTATATTTTTAGTGGATTGAACAAAATTTATTCGTAATAGAATATTTTTAATATTAAAAATATGTGTTTATAATTATTATAACATGTGTTTATAACAGAAATATAAATATATATATATGTAAATATGATTTATATATATATAATAAGTTTAATTAAAAAAAAAGTCTTTCAATCCAGTGCGAAATGATGTCAAAGTTTTTAGGAAGAGGTTGAACATCTCCCAGTATACGTTAAGCACATTTAAATATTAAAATACCCGAAGCTTTAAACATCCAAAATAAAAGTTAAAATTCGACTTTAAATTTGTTTTTCTACACAATTGGGGTTTTATGAGTGAGGTTTTATAACGAGAAAAGTTGGCTTTTAACATTTTTTGTATATAGTATCAGTTTTTTAATCCTCGTTATATACGTTATCCTCGTATTTTGACATTTCTTGTCTTATAATTAGTCTTGTCTTATATACATGAGTACAATCTCCAATGTAGCAAATCTTGTATTTTTGTAGTCATATAGGTATATATCCGACCAACCGGATAGAAATGCCACATATTAAGTAAAATATATTCTTTATTCGTTTTTTGATGTAGTTAATAAACATGATATGAGGTTAGACTTAACTCAACGTATCCAGTCAATTTCTTTCAATTTTGGAGATTTTGAAAATAATCCTTTTTTATCTCATAAATTATTATAAGTCTATTCAACGAACCTTTGTAAATAATAAGATGTCAATATTAAATTCATAAACCTATTATGATAAACCAAACAAATAAAGTTAAATAGATAGAAAAATTTAAGAACTTTAAATTATATATTATAATATTTAGGTTCTTATTATTTTTATATTCACTACTATATCACTACTATATTGACTAACTACTATATTTACGAACTATACTTTAATTAGTTTGAAGATTTCTTCTTCTTTGTTAGTGAAAGAATATAAATTTATAAGTTCGATAATGATTCAATTTTTTGTAATTTTTTTTAAATTATTTTTTATAAAGCAGAAATCTGATTAAAGTTGGAGAATATATTATTGGAGTAGCATTTGAACACTTTTCTAAAAATGATTTGGCACATAAGCTAACATAATATTTGCAAACAGGGACACAAAAAAGTTCTTTACAGTTATTCATCCTTATAAAAACTTTTTTTATCAAATACTTTTTGTTCATTATTATTCAAAAGGTTTTGTTTTACTAAGTTTAGGTTCCAGGATTTAATGCCACATGGAATTTTGATTTTGATGAATTTTAATAGGGATTATCTGTCTATATATTGTTTACAAACGCAGGCACTAAAAAGTTTGGTACTTGTTTTCGTTCTAAAGAAAGATTTGTACAACAAGTTGCCTAGATTTTCTAAAGGCATCTAAGTTTCTTTAAACAATTATTCTTCCTTGCACATTTCAGTTATCATTTGGTTTGACTTTACTAAACACATCTTCAGCTGTTTCTCATTGGGATATTGGTGATACCATCTGATATTTTGAACTCTCATTCTCCAGGTAGTTCTCTTTGGAGTATACAGGCATTTCACACTATAGATATATATTGAGCACGAGCATTTCACCATATGCACTTTTGACAGAATTTGAGTTTGAGACGAACTAGGGTCACCCACATGAAGAGTGCGGTAGACATTTTTGCTGATAGGTTCTTAAGATTTAATATATACTTTATTTTATTTTGAACTGTTCTATATTTTCTTTTCAGTTTTATTTATTTTATTATTTCAGACCTCATCTAATTTTTGGTAATATCTGCTTTTTATTAATTTATTGTATTATATTATTTTATTTAGTTGGTTATTTTATGCATATGTTTTTTTATTTATCTTTAATTTTATTTTACTTTTATTATATAATTTATTTTCAAATTATTCAGTTATTATTCAATATCCTTTCTATTATATAAAACATCCCTTCCGGAAGGTACAATTGAATTTTATGTTCAAAGCTGCCAATGCCATACATAATCGCTGTGCTTAAATTGAAAGCAATCATCTTGAAACTAACCGATAACCACCAGTTGAAACTAGTAAAAGCCGTTCAATGTTTTTCAAGTTTAAAATTATGAAAGAAACAAATTAAAGTCTGAAAAAATGAATTTTAAATGATATAAAAAGATTTTTAAAATTAGTTTATTTTATATAAAATATGCCTTTGCTACATAAAAATACATGCGATAACTTAGCTATATGAATATAATATAAAAACCAATTTTAACATTTGAAATATGTAATTAAAAATATTTATTAATAAATATAAATATGAAATAAGAAATTTAAGTTTAAGAACAAAATGTGATTAATAATTAACTTTATGAAAATTAAATATCTCAATTAAATTAAAAATCAAATCAAATTATAAAATAATATTAAATAATGTAATAATATTGATTAAGTCATTATCTTTGAGTAGTAATAAAATCACTTATTGTCATGAATTTTCTATTTTTAAGTACTGTTGTTTTTTTTTTAAATTTAAAAGTACATCAACTTAATAATTCTTTACAGACTTAGAAATGCAAATGACTAATAAAATTTCTGTGAAAAACAGTAAAGTATCTCAGAATTAAAATGTTTTAACAAAAGTAATAAGCTATACATATATATGCATCACTAAACAAATTCATAAAAACAGTAAAACAGAAAAAAAATAAAAATCTTAATTAGTATTTTATTGCTCAAAATATTTATGATAAATTGAAAACGGAAATGCACTTAAATTGTCTTGTATCTCAGCAGTAAGCAAAATAATAAAATAACATAGATGTTAGAATATTTGAAAACAATTCGACTTAAACTTTTACAAAAAAAATTTAAAAAAATATAGAAAAAACATCTAATATTTGATGTGGTGTTTAATGAACTGTTTCGTTAAATTCAACAGGTAAGTCTAAGTTAGAGAAGTTTTGTTTTCCAAATAATTGAATATTAACAAATGCATCAATTCCGAGTGGTTTCAAGATTTATGTATTATTTTCAATATTAATAGAAAAATATTTTAAA